AGTATATCTCTATTCTCTCTCTTATCCTTTGTGCTGTTATTGTCATTTATATTACATTTCTATTATGTCTAATACAGGGTTATAAGTATTGCTTTATACAATCTTACATCTGTTGTAAAGGTTAAAGGAAAAAGAAAACATTATTTATAAAGTCTTTTGTATTAACCTACATATTTATTGTTTTTGGTATTCATTTTTCCCGAGGGTTCAAGTTACCATTTGGAGTTATTTCCTTGTTCCAGTGTAGTTCCGTTCTCTCCCTTGTCCTTTGGCCTTCAAATATTTTATTAAAAAAATTTTTTTTTATTCTGTAATATTCCTTTTCACTATTTCCTTTTCTTTATGTATTATGTTTATTCATTCTTAAATTGTTTCTTAGAATTCATTTCTGAAATGATGTATTTTTTTATTTCTCATTCTTTCATCAAGTTCTATGACCTCACTTCTGAGGTGTCTGATTCTAATTTGTGTTCTTCATTTATGACTAGTATCTTATTTTAAAGACTTTCGCTGTTTTGAAATGTTATCAATTTAATTTGTTCTAGTTCCATATCTTTCTGGCATACTTTTTTTTTTTTTAAATTGAGACACAGTCTCTCCTTGTCGACCAGGCTGGAATATAATGGCATGATCTTGGCTTACTGCAACCTCTGCCTCCCTGGTTCAAGTGATTCTCCTGCCTTAGCCTCCGAGTAGCCGGGATTACAGGCGCATGCCACCACGCCCGGCTAATTTTTGTATCTTTTGTAGAGACAGGGTTTTACCATGTTGGCCAGGTTGGTCTCGAATTTCTGACCTCGTGATCTGCTCTCCTCGGCCTCCCAAAGTACTGGGATTATAGGCGTGAGCCACCGCAACTGGCCGTGGTATGCTTTTATTGTCTGTAGGGATGTTATTCTTCACTTTATCCTTTTCTTATTTTTAATATACCTTTAATGGGATTTGACCTTAGTACTTTGTTTTCTTATTTTCAGGTGAAACTTTTCTGCTTGAACATACAGAAGAAGGCAGAGTTCATCATAAGTTTTACAGAACTCTCATGTCTATGTGCATGCCTTTAAAAACTATGGCAGCTAGCTTTCTGGGATTTCCTTGCTCTCCTACTTTCCTTCTGCTTTTTTCTGTACCTTATTTTTCCATTGTTTCTCCTATACCAGTTATGCACACTTTTCAGCCTGCTCGCAGTGATTTCCTTTCATTATGGGGCTTTGTCTGGAAGGGAGCCCAGGAAGGTCAATTTTGAGAGTCCACAATAGGTTAAAGCATAGTGCTAGATCTTTCAGTGCCTGACCATGAATTCATTGTATTCATTTACTCCTGAAGTGGCCAGAGCCCATAGCTGGTTGCTGTTCTCAGGTTGGTTTACTGAGCTTCCCAGTGTTGTCTGTTTTGTGTGTTCTGTCCTGCAGATGTCCTATTGTTTCTGTCTCATACCCTGGAGAGGTGCCATTATCAGCCATATCTTAATGACTGTTAGAAGTTTTCTGTACCATTTTGTATCCTGGGTTTTACCTAGCTTTGTTGTAAATGTTGTCTGGGGTTTGGGGTTCATTATGAAGGTGTTTTCTGTATTTATGTGGAGGATTTGTGGAGATTTTTCAAAAGCTCTGCCATCACTGCTGACGTTGTCTTCTTAGATACTGTTACAGATTCACTGTGGTGAAGGGAAGCTTCCTTCCAAGGTTAAGTTCAGATGTCAGAACTTGTGACAGCAGTCATGTGGTATGATTAAAGAAAGATTTATTATTCACACAAGTGGGTGGTTCTAAGAGAGGGGCAGAAGATGACTATCTGGGAGGAGGTCCAGAAACAGAAAGTGAATGAGGGCATGCAGGTGTTTTATAAGGATAAGTCCAGTTGGTGCAGAGTTCAAAAGAACCACCTTTCAAAGTTTAAAGAATCTAAAAGAGCTAGCAAGACGTACTTAGGAGGTATTGGCAGCGGTGAGCTTTATCAGTAAGTTGCAGAATATGACAGACATAGGCAGGAGATGATGTTCAGAGATTGCAAGCACTATATGAAAACATCAGTGAGGTTGCAGGGAGTCTTGGTTTCTTTCCTGTGGTCTCCAGTGTGGAGATTCACTTTTTAGTTCCTGTTATTGTTGTGACCTACTATTGAGGAACTGGGCTTGTATCTTACCTGCCATTTTGGTTCTTAGCAGCCATGATCGACTCCTCCTTGAAGTAACTTGTGTTTCCAGAAGGGGATCGGGAGGTAGCCTTACTTGGTAATCTCAGCTAGAGAGAAGAAAGCGGAAGACTATGTATGGTTATCTCTACTTTCAAGAACAAGTCATGAAATGACTCCTTGGTTGGACAAATCATTATATCACCCTTGCATGATAGTGTTCTTAGTTCTGCCTTTTGTTGAGCTCTGTTAATTACATATTTTCTTAAAAACATTTTATCAAGCATCCACAGAGTGTTTAGTAAGTGTATCTAATTTGTGCACATACCATGGTGTGAGATCCTCGGTATATAAATAAGCTAGAGTTCTACTCTCAAAAAGGCTATCTGTTATAGAGTTGTTGGATAGGTAAACACTTATAAAACAGTTTACTAACTGTTATGAGAACATACAGAAACTTGGCTTGTGGTGGGAGGAAATTAAGAAAGACTATGAAAATAAAGTGACATTTAAATTTAATGTTAGGGCCAGTTGCGGTGGCTCACACCTGAAATCCCAGCACTTTGGGAGGCCAAGGCAGGCAGGTCACCTGAGGTTAGGAGTTCAAGACTAGCCTGGCCAACATGGTAAAACCCCATCTCTACTGAAAATACAAAATTAGCCGGGTATGGTGGCGCACGCCTATAATCCCAGCTACTTGGAAGGCTGAGACAGGAGAATTGCTTGAACCAGGAGGTGGAAGTTATAGTAAGCCAGAATTGTGCCGCTGCATTCCAGCCAGGGAGACAAGAGCAAGACTCGGTCTCAAAAAAAATAAATAAATAAAAGTTAGTATAGTATTTACTGATCTTAATAAGCCATTGATTTTAAGAACTTACTGATTTTAAAAACTACCATATGAAATGTTCACATTGTAGAATATTACCCTTATATCAGAAATGTTGAAATGTTGACAATGCCTGTCTTAAAATTGAGGAATCATTAATAAAAGTGTTAAGTACCAAGCATTGTGGCAAATGGCTTTTGCATATATTATTTAATCTTCATAGTGACTCAGTGAGACTAAATTATTTCCTTCCATTAACAGATGAAGAAATAAAACTTTCAGAAATGGTTTCAGTAGTAAGTGTCAAGTGGGGATTTAAGCTCATCTCTGATTTCTAATTTTATGCATTCAATTAATATGTAAAATGAATATAACTTTTGGGAATTTTGCCTTTTCCATATGTTTATTTTCCTATTTAGTTCAATAGAGTGAATTTTAACTTTTCATTTAATGCTATACTAAGAACTGTTTTAAGGCTTTTTTCCCCTCGAGTTTTTCAAAGCAGTTTTTTAAGGTAGTTGAAGTGCCAAGTAACTTAGTTTTAACTACTCTTTATTTTTCATTTGTGTTACTTGTCTTTTTTGGCAGCTTCCTCAGTTCTCTCTCTGTGTCTTACCATTAATTTTAGAAGACTTTAGTGTGAAATATACAGGTCTGTTTAAAATTGAATGTGAACTGTGCTGTCACCCTGTAAAGAATATAGTCTCTTTAGTAAACTGTCCATTTAAAAAGTGGAAGAAAGAACTTCAGGAGTAGGCATTGTGGCAGTTCTCTTTGAGAAATGAGAGAGAATAGTAGTCTTTTTACTTAGGTAAGAGAGGATTAAGGAAAATGAGAAAACTAGTGATATGGGTTGGCAGTGCAGGTATCTTGCCTGAATTTATAATGCTTTAGACAGACTAAGACTGTTCCATGGGCAATCACAGATGCTAATTCCGCTTGCACATAAAAATGGTCTTAATTGCTTTTGATTTAATATACTGGTAGTCTGTTAGATAATAGAAATCATCAGTTAACCTTAAGGACCTGAAAATTGAATCATCTTCCTTAAGACATATGGTACTTTTATTATGTTTTCCTTTCCCCTTTCCCTTCATTTTTCTTTCCCTTCCTCCTCCTCTGCCCATCTCTGCCTCCTGGGTGCGCTATTGGAAAACTTGGATTTATGAAAAGATCAAAGCATATATTTTCTTGAATATTAAATTTGACTCACATCATGATTTGTTCATTATTCCAGAGCATTTGCTTATTCCATAATTCTCTCTGATACTCTACAAAGTTCTGTGCCTTAAGTACTAACCAGACTGTCTACTTTTGCTTTTAAACAGTATGTATTGCTTGTGAAGATGTTGGTTCTGCTTTATCTCCTGAACATATTCTGCCAGTGGCAGGACTTCTTTTTGGCTGCCTGAATATAGTGAAAAGCCAGCTAAGATGATTATTTACTGGAGCTAGACTGGGGTTTGCAGGGAGAGTGCTACCTGCGTGCCATTTTGGCCTCATGTTTATGTTTCATTCTCAGTTATCAAAACCATAAGAAGTGATGGACAAAACGGGCTCAGATTCTTTGTTCTTCCATATCAAGAAGGAAAACAACCTGTTGCTGATATAAATCTACTTCATTGCCAGCTGTAACCCCTGTGGTTTTTCTCATTACTTACCCTTCTCAGTCTGATGACATGAATTAAGTGAAAGGATGGAAGCTTTGAGTCCAGAGATGGTAGTTGAACAGTGGGATTTGACAGCAGTGCAGACAATGAAAAAGCAGTGCTGTCTCTCTGCTGGGTATCTCGTACTGAACTTGAGCCTGCTGCCAAGTTAGGGGCCATTTCGAAGTACTTGTTTGGAGTTTTTGGACACCTTAAAAAACATATATGAATTCATCATGTGAATTATTTTTTATAGATATATTTGACCTAAAGGTATGTTTTACTCATGATTTGTATGTGTTAATGTGGACTAAGATCATTTTAATGAGAGAGGTGATGTTATGATAGAAGAAGAAAATTTAGAAATAAGTTTGAATTTTTCTTTGTGTTAATAGGCAGGCAGTGGTTAAAGGTTCCCTTCCACATCCTTTTGCCTTGACGTTATTTGAGGACACATTGTACTGGACTGACTGGAACACACACTCCATTTTGGCTTGCAACAAGTATACTGGTGAGGGTCTGCATGAAATCCATTCTAACATCTTCTCTCCCATGGATATACATGTCTTCAGCCAACAGAGGCAGCCAAATGGTAAGTGATCCTTGATTTTTAAATTGCAATTTGGAACAGCTTTGTAGCACTCTAATGTCTGACTTTAGTGAGGATCAGGAGGAGGGAGGGCATATCCAAAGGTAGTTGGTGGGAACAAAAAAGAGTTAAAATCCCAGCACTTTGGGAGGCCAAAGCAGGCAGATCACATGAGGTCAGGAGTTTGAGGCAAGCCTGGCCAACATGGTGAAACCCTGACTCTACTAAAAAAAATTAGCAGGGTGTGGTGGTGTGTACCTGTAGTCCCAGCTACTTGGGAGGCTAAGGCAGGAGAATCACTTGAACCCAGGAAGTGGAGATTGCAGTGACTCGAGATTGTGCCACTGTACTCCAACCTTGGCAATGGAGTGAGACTCTGTCTCAATAATAAAAGGAAAAATGTAAAAATATAATTCAGGTTAGACAATAGCCTAGGCCATTTGTAGCCTGTCACTGCAGACCCCCTCAGCACTTTTTTTGGGTCAGCAGTTATAGAGGTGGAGAAGGGAGAGATAATTTAAAAATTGAGATAACTTATATGCTAGGCTTATACACAAATGAATTTCTTATTCCTATTATTTCTTTCAATATGTGGTTGAGTGTGTTCATGTGACTGTTTAAAAAAAAACTTTTGGGCCAGGCACAGTGGCTCACACCTGTCATCTCAGCACTTTGGGAGGCTGAGGCTGGTGGATCACTTGAGGTCAGGAGTTTGAGACCAGACTGCCCAACATGGTGTAACTTCGTCTCTACTAAAATATCAAAAATATTAGCTGGGCGTGGTGGCACATGCTTGTAATCCCAGCTACTTGGGAGGCTGAGGCCGGAGAATTGTTTGAACCCAGGAGGCAGAGGTTGCAGTGAGCCAAGATGGTGCCATTGCACTTGAGTCTGGGCAACAAGAACGAAATTCTGTCTGAGGGAAAAGAAAACTCTCTTCTTTTTAAATGAAAACTCTCTTAATCTAGAATTTATTTGAATATAAGTACCTCAGGTTGCTAAATAAAACACCTATTTAAACTTTTCTGTGTAGCCCTCCCACCTTGTTTTTCTTAGTTTTGGTTCTATTTTTGGTCAGCCTTTACAATGACTTGGACTGTGACTGCTGACAACTTGTAAGAGAGGACAGGAATTAGGTTTAAAAGGAATATGAGAATGTTAAGGGTTTGGCACTTGTGTGTAAATAAATGTCTGGCATGTGTCTGAGTGTATTTCAGATTTTATTCCATAGCCAAAAATGAAGAGTGTTTGTACCATGTGTTGCTTTATATTAGCTCTTTTCATTTAGGTGGAGATAATCAAATATTGAAAGTGTTATGTTGGAATCTGATGATCATGAGCCCGTAAAAATGTGTTTAAATGTGTGTGTTACTGTTCTGTACAGAAGAAAACGTTCAGTCACTCGTATGAATATTTTTATTCTTCATAGCCCTCAAAAGAGAATTTTCCCTGTTTTTTGTTTGTTTTTTTGAGATGGAGTCTTGCTCTGTTGTGTGTTGATGTGATCACAGCTAACTGCAGCCTCAAACTTCCAGGCTCAAACGATCTTCCCACCTCAGCCTCCCAAGTATCTGGGACTTATAGGCATGTGCTGCCACCACCATACCTGGCTAATTTTAGTTTGTTTGTTTTTTTTTTTTTTTTAGACGGATTTCCATTCTTGTTGCCCAGGCTGGCAATTCTCCTACCTCAGCTTCCTGAGTAGCTGGGATTACAGGCATGTGCCACCACGCCTGTCTAATTTTTTGTATTTTTAGTAGAGACGAGGTTTCTCCATGTTGGTCAGGCTGGTGTCGATATCCTGACCTGAGATGATCTGCCTGCCTTGGCTTCCCAAAGTGCTGGGATTACAGGCATGAGCCATTGCACCTGGCCTAATTTTAGTACTTTTTATAGAAGCAGGATCTCACCATGTTGCTCAGGCTGGTCTCAAGCTCCTGGACTCAAGTTATCCATCCACCTCACCCTCCCAAAGTGCTGGGATTATAGTCACAAGCCACCGTGCCTGGCCTCCTGTTTTTCTTTTTAAATGACACTGTTGGTCCTTTATGTTTTAGTAATTTGAGAATTTACAGTTATCTTTCATATTGATTACTTTTACCTTTCGTGTTCCATTGGTCTCCATCTTATGTTGATTTTTTTTCTATGAGTATTGTTTGGACATGTCCCCTTTCATAATTTCTAAAGTTTGCTAATTATTTTCTCTGCTTTTCATTTCCCCACTTTTCTGCTTATCCCTTCTATGTTAATCTTCCCAAACCATGACTTGTTAACATAATTACTTTTCTTGGCTTTCAGTGTCCTTCACCTCAGTCTGTTCCCATTCTTTGTACTCATTTAGCTTTAGTTTCTGTTAGTCAATAGAAACCTTAACCTCCAGTTATACTGTTGATCTTATTATCTTAACTCGTTTATAGCCCCCAAGGTTTTATTCAGATAGCTTTACCACACTTGAAATGTTGTCTTACCTATCCTTCCTATCCTTAAAGGCTCCTGTGCTATATCCTCCACAAAGTTCTTCTACAGTTCTTTAAACCTCAGGGTTTTTTTTCCCATTTGACTCTATACTTGTTGTCTATAATGTGTAAAATAGCACTTAGTTTTTTTGATTTGTATTTGTTTTAGTTTTTCTTTTTTTTGTTGTTAATTTTGTTTAACGGACTAAATTATAACCTCTTTTAGGGCAGGGATCTCCTGCTTTACTTCTTTTATATTCTTCTTTGGATACAAAATACTTAGTACATTTATACTGATTATTTCCTTTCCTTGCAGATGGTTTGGTAGTTAAGCACCTGCATGACATTTGGTAATAATTTTGGCTTATCACAGTTGTTCATGTTATGGTTGTTAACCTTTGCATACTTAGTAATCATTGGTATTAATCAATGTGATTTATATTTGACAGCTACAAATCCATGTGCAATTGACAATGGTGGTTGTTCCCATTTGTGTTTGATGTCACCAGTCAAGCCTTTTTATCAGTGTGCCTGCCCCACTGGGGTCAAACTCCTGGAGAATGGAAAAACTTGCAAAGATGGTAAGAAGATATTATCTAAAACGAAAAGTTTATAACTATTGGAATTCCTCATGATTTGTTTTTTCTATAATTGGCTCTCTAGGTTATAGTGCTTTGGGAGACCAGTGACTTAATCTCACAATATTCACACATGGTTATAGGAGTGTTTTTGTTCTATGACATCATTTGAATGCTATTTTATGCATTATTTTAGCATTGTAAGTAACATTTTTGAAAAAAATTACGTGCTCTATCTTTTCTATCAAATCTCATAGTCATCGATATCACAGTTGATGACTATGGAAATGAGTATGACTTCTCATAAAGAATATATTTTTAACAGGTAGCATTTGTAAACAAAGAAATCTGAAAGGAAATATGTTTATTAAACTTTTAGCTACAAAGAATATGAGATACATTTTATAACAGATGATTTCATGATATTTTAAATTGCTTTTTAACAACAGAGATGCTTTCAGAAGAAGGAAAAAAATACATATTGTACTGTTTTAAACAACAACTTTTTATACTTAAGAAACACACTTTGCCTCTTCTCCTTACTCTTAATTTGCTATAGAGAGAGGGCATGTTGGAGAAAGTATACTGATTTAGGACATTTCAAGGGACTTCTGGTTTGGAAGGACACCAGTTCTTCTGTTTTTCTTCTTAATGAGAATGTTATTCATTCTCACCCCTATGGATCACCATCTAGTTCTCTAGCAACCAGCAGACCTGGTAAGAAAATTGTTGTATTTAGCCATGGCTTCTTTATCTAACCTGAAAAGCAGAAACCTGTACTTTGGAGTGTGTTAGAGTCCCTGGCAAGGGGGCCAGAGTGTCAGAGAGATGGAATTGAGTCTGTGTACAGTATATTTGTTATGACTTGGCATTGATAAATTATCCTCATAGTAAAAGATGAAGCTGGCTGACTCCTGTCAAATGGTTTCCATGGCAAACAACAATTTGGTTTCAATTTAAAACAAAAGGTTTTTGTAATGTTGCTTTTTTCTTTAAAAATGTAGCCTGACTTTAAAACAGAGGATTTATTTTAGCAATAATGGTCTTTCTACTCCCTCACAGCAGTGCAAGTGTACATGTTTAACCAGTTTTGAATTTCATATGTGCATTTGGCATGTAATAGCCTTAAGTTTAACTGTTCTGTTTTGATCACCTTGCTCAAATTAACAGCTCTATGACTTCTTTGTGAAGTTCTGAGCTGGCGCCTTTTGGTTGTTAGCTAGGGCAGTGAATTGTGCAAAGTTATTCCTGCTTGGTTCCTGCTATCACATTTGGGCTGTATTTCCTCCAAGTTGGAATTCATTTATAATTAGCTCTAGAGTGAAAAAGCCGATATTGAGAGGCTTCACTCCTTTTCCCAGTTTTTTAACTTGTAATTCTAGATTGACGCTTGAAGCTTATATGCCAGTATTTTGTTTTGGACTCATTAGTTTAGCTGGGAATCTTTTCTTGCTCTTTCAGCTGTCAATTTGCTTACTGTCTTTTATTAGCGTCTTACAGTTAGATAATTTTTTGCTGGTGATTTACTTGAACATTTAAAATGAAAAAATGATTGAGCTCAATACCCTCTTTTTCAGTTATGTGGTTTAATATTTGGGGCTTGGGCTTAAAACATTTCATAAATAAACCTAATTTAAAATTCAGTGCTTTATTTTTTTAACACTGATATTAAGTATTGTTAATGTTTCTTGAGTACTTACATGTTCAGTACCTTCCTGAGTTGTGTATGTATTTATCTCCTTTGATCCCTACAGCAACCTTATGAGGTATAGATGAGAAAACTAAGGCTAGAGAGATTAGATATTTTCCCAAAGTTTGTGTAGCTACTTGAATCAGATTATATTGGATCTACAACTCTTGCTGTTAACCACTGTGTTACGTTTATCTGGTTTCTTCCCTCCATTGCTGCTGTTTACTTCTCTGTAGCTTGCTTTGTCCTCAATTCTGTGATGTATTGCCTTGTATTTCTCTTGGTTAAAACAGCTTTATTGAGATGTAACTTACATACCATATAAAAATCCATCCATTTTTTAAGTGTAAAATTCAGTGACTTTTTTTAAAGTAAATTTACAGACTTACGCAGTTATCACCACAATCCAATTTTAGAACATTCCTATCAACCACAAAGATTCTTGTCCTAGATTTCTTTATCTTTTTTTAAAAAATGCTTCTTGAACAAAGACTCTGTATCCTATATCTCTTTCTCCTTTAATACTCAGCTACTTAGTCATTACATAGTCATTATTCATTGTACTTTTAAATAGCTGGATTAATTCCAGAAGCTGTAGAATCAATGAAACCATAGAGTGTGACACAACTTGATTTGAAGACTTAGTTGTTAAACAGCTTGCCCTCAGAGTAGACTCTCCCTATTTCACTGTATTACCTTCTATTTCCACTCTAAAGAGAGCTCATATCCTTTTATGTTAATTTATATAATTAATATATATTTTATATTTATTTTTCAGTTGATTCTTTAGAGTGGATGAATTTTACCTCTGGGTTTCAAACTGTTTTTCATTTCGCTTTGTTGTTCTAGGTGCCACTGAATTACTACTTTTAGCTCGAAGGACAGACTTGAGACGCATTTCTTTGGATACACCAGATTTTACAGACATTGTTCTGCAGTTAGAAGACATCCGTCATGCCATTGCCATAGATTACGATCCTGTGGAAGGCTACATCTACTGGACTGATGATGAAGTGAGGGCCATACGCCGTTCATTCTTAGATGGATCTGGCAGTCAGTTTGTGGTCACTGCTCAAATTGCCCATCCTGATGGTGTTGCTGTGGACTGGATTGCACGAAATCTTTATTGGACAGACACTGGCACTGATCGAATAGAAGTGACAAGGCTCAATGGGACCATGAGGAAGATATTGATTTCAGAGGACTTAGAAGAACCCCGGGCTATTGTGTTAGATCCCATGGTTGGGTAAGAAGCTCTACTGTTAGTAAATTCTGTGTGATATTTCAGTTTTTCACAGGTTCTAAAAACATTGACTAAAATAACATGACATATATTGGTTTCTAATAAACAGGTGATTGGAATACAATCTCAAGTTAAAAAAAATTGCTAGTTTTTTGCCTTGGATGTTTTAGGTATTTTTTCTTTCTAAATTAAGTCCATGTTTGCTGACTTTGGGTGTTGTCTGCAGATTTTGCTCAGATTGCATCATTACCATGAAAAATGTGGAAAGAAATTGTTTTCAGAACTCTTTTCCTTCCCCTGGAAGTTTCAATTCCATTTTAAGTATTTTATAGTAAGAATATAGCTTACTTTATGTTTCCCTAAACACGTGAATGACTTGAATTCCAAAACTTTGTCAGGCCATGCAGCTTTACTCCTAGTTTGTTGTTGTTGTTTGTTTGTTTGTTTCGTTTTGCCATGCCACCCTGACTATATAGTCTAGGGAGATACAGCTTCTTACATACTCAACAATTTTATTGTTACTGCGATATTCTGAGGACGAGCATAGTGACAAATTACTAGAGCCACTTAAACATCCAGGAACCATAAGAATCACTTAGCACTACAGGAAGAAATGGTTATTTTTATAATTCAGTTTGCCATCTGACCCACATTGCTGGGATAAGCCTTTGTGCCAGAGGTGACAAGCCATGAAGGAAGAGAGAAAGTTCATGGAAAAGGGCACAAAATGTTTAACAACAACAACAACAAAAAAGTAAAACTGGAATCTCATTATTGGGAGGCGTTTTGAGGATTGGCTCTAGAACATGCTGTTTGATTTGAAAATTTCCTACAATCTTATATACTGCTATGGTAAATGTCTTAAACACACTCTTCATTTTTTTTTTTTTTTCCTTTCTATGGCATTAACTGATGATACCAGTGTAATAGGAGGAGTAGATCTCACCTTTAGAATTTCTGAAAGTTATATTTTATTATCTATTTTTAGCTCATTTTTTTTTGTATACTTCTATAGGTACATGTATTGGACTGACTGGGGAGAAATTCCAAAAATTGAACGAGCAGCTCTGGATGGTTCTGACCGTGTAGTACTGGTTAACACATCTCTTGGTTGGCCAAATGGTTTAGCCTTGGATTATGATGAAGGCAAAATATACTGGGGAGACGCCAAAACAGACAAAATTGAGGTTTGTTTTTTGCCTTTTGATTTTGAAGCCACTTTTTAATGGGTTTTGAGTCAATAGTATAATAATTTGAGTACAGATATGCTTACTACTTAACAGTTGTCTGGGGTGCCAAAGGTACCTTTTACAGAAATTTTACTCAACCTTCATGATTCTAGGGATAATATATTCTCTTCCACATAATCCTAGGATAGAGAGAGATGTATGTATGAGAAACGGTTGTTGATCAGTTTCTAGTCTTAAAAGCTTACGTAAATGATTTTCCTCATTCTGGGTAAAGCCACTGCCTGAATTTCCTAGGGGAAATTTCTGCAAACCAAAATTATGTAAGATCTATACTGGAAGAACTGGCTGTCCTAAGTTAGGAAAACAAAGCCTATATGTATATATATCTTATTGCAGTTACTGGTATTGGGGCAGATGGTAGAATATATTAAATATTATGATGGTTACATGCAAACAGTTGTAAAATTGATTTATGGGCTGTGTGGGAATAAGACTAATTAACCAAAGCTTGGGAAAAAGTATTTACCAAATGGTGGAAATTAAGTTTGTGGCAATCAAATAGATTATGGTGAAAATAATCAGTGATGAATATTTTATCACCATGTTTTGTTAGTGGCATATATCCCTCATATTGGTGTTAAGTTTAAAATTAACAACTTTGAATTAGACTTTGCTACAGATCTTATGGATAACATAGATAAAACAGAGTTAGGATCTCAATTTTCCTTTGGGGGAAACTTCTCATATAAGGATGGCTTTAAATGGCTCTTCAGAGAGACACTGTATACATCTAATGGACAGAAAATTTAGACTCTTTTTTTTTTTTTTTTGAGACGGAGTTTCGCTCTTGTTACCCAGGCTGGAGTGCAATGGCGCGATCTCGGCTCACCGCAACCTCCGCCTCCTGGGCCCAGCTAATTTTTTGTATTTTTAGTAGAGACGGGGTTTCACCATGTTGACCAGGATGGTCTCGATCTCTTGACCTCGTGATCCACCCGCCTCGGCCTCCCAAAGTGCTGGGATTACAGGCTTGAGCCACCGTGCCGGGCCTAGACTCTAACAGTTGTTTTAGAAAGGTAATTCTGTAGAGTGCCCAGGACTCTGAGTTGAATAATGATTTAAAGAGCCTTGCTTCCAAAATGGAAACTTGGAATAGAAGAAACCCATTAGTATTCCACCAGCCTCAAATACTGAAAACAGCGTCTGTTGTTGTTGCAGCTGGTTTTCATTAATAGAAAATTTTGCGTAAACTCCATAAATTTTCTCCCTGTTAGTATTTCACTGCCTCCCACTTTTTTCAAATCCAAGTTGATGTTTGAATCTTTTAACAGTTGGAGTGCAGTGCTAATGAGACAAAGGTTATGAGTTCACGTTTCAGACAGGCTTATAGCTTCATTTTGGTCTGCTTGCATATGGATTGCCTACCTCATCCCATCTAGTTCACATCTGTAGATTATGAACCATATAGGAGTGTATAGGTATGAATACGCTTAGGAAAACAGCTTAAAACCCATATGTTTTAGAAGAATATCTGTAGCAAGACAATTTACATAAGGGAATGCACTTGATTTATTATCACATAGGGTTTTTTAAATTCCATGTTTGGTTTTGGCCGTCTTAGCCTGCTCTGACTAACTGATTAGTCTGAAAATAAAATCATTTTTTTCTTACTGAGACTACTTCAAGTCTTATTTTCCCCACTTCAGGTAAAATACTTTAGATATGGAAATTTATTCAAAATCACAAATAGTTGCAGAAGGGATTCAGATAAAGACATTAGAATTTATGGAGGTTCTGAGTGACCGTCTTTAAGAATAAAAATTAATACCCTTTTATATATAAATATATATAACAATATATGATATTGACTAGGATTTATTTTCTTAGTTTGCAGTGAGTGCAGTAGATCTTGAAATTAGAATTCCTCCTAACCTCTTTGTTACGTTTTCTTGAGCTGCACGCACGCACGCACACGCGCGCGCGCACACACACACACACACACACGCACACACAGTGGTGTCATTGGCTCCTTCACCCCTTCTTTCCTTCTTCCCTGTATGGTACTAATATCCTTAAACCTGTTTTTAATTTTTTCGTTCGTTCGTTCATTTGTTCTTTGAATCAGCAAAGGCTCTGCCAGCCATAAATCTGATTTTTAGATCCATCTTTCTCCTTCTGGGTTTGCTGGAATGCAACTGCTGTTTATTCTTTGTCCCCTTTTTACAGATTGATATTTGGGGTAAATTTACTTCTGTACGCATGAAGACCCCCCTTTGTAATTTCCCTTGGAGATTCTGATGAGGTTTCACTATTAGGACATGAGTGCTTTTGTCATTTTATTTACATAAGCACATCTAAGAAATAGAGCAGGTAGTTATTTATTCTCTTCTTATGTTGATGTAAAATCTGATACTTGGCAACTAAAGAAAGAGTGCAGCTCTTCATCTAAATTAGTCTTGCATAACTGGGGTAGAAAAACTGTTGGGTTTTCCCATCCTGAGACCGTTAGTGATTATAGGAGCAACTGCTACCACCAGCTTTTCATCTCCCTAACTTGGTAATACTGAACTTAAGAACTTTTAGAAAGATACATAATTTTTAAAATCCCTCTTTTTTCAAGAAGTGTTATTTGCTAGCCTTTTGTTAGCAGCAGCTGATCCCAGACACTGATCTAACTCTAGTCTGGGTGACATTTTCCCTTCTAGGCCCATTTTCCTTAGAAAACTTCCTAGCTTTTGTCATGCCGAAGAATGAAAGCTGCTTTTCCCTGGGAGCTGGTGGAAATTTTTTAGACCAGCCTCTTACTTCCTCTTTTTAAGTGGTGACGTACCAGATGCTGGCTACATTAAGGAAACCAGGGAGAAGGAATGGGTATTATATGTGATTTTTTTTTTTTTTCCTAATTGTACAGAGTTGTAGAAAGAATGAATAGATTTAACCTAAAGTTTATAATAAGCTCTGGAAGGAGGGACTGAGCATAGGGCTTTGCTAATGATGTCACATTTTTTAAAAGATGGTTGTGGTATTTGGCTCCTGCTTTAATAGAATAACATGTATGTGAGGGTACGTCTGTTTTCCCTGCTTGCCAGGTGATAGTGGCTACTTATCTGTAGGTGTTATTTAAAAGGTGCTTGCTAGTACTTGCTTATGTCTCTTCTTCATTATGCTGAAATGATGTCATCACCTTTTGTGGACAAACCTAGTTTACTTGTCTGCACTATACTTCTGCCACCGCCCTGTTTTTACTATATTGTTCTGGGGCCTTCCCATAATAAGTATTAATGCATTGCCAGAAAGAAGGATTTTCATGTTTTTGATAGGGAAAAGATCAAAAGCCTTTATTTCTGTTTTATATGACCCTGCAGTAGGCAGAACAACATTGTGTCTTAACAGCATTCCTTCTTTTTTTTAAGTCAGGTTTTACTGCTGAAAACATTTGTTGCACTGAGGACCTGTAGTACTTCTTACTAACAGCAAAGATATATCATTGATAATTTATAGATTTAAAGCATTTTTTTGGTGATGGTACAAAATTAAGAATGTACTGTTAGCTTATGTTTTCTTGAGGTTGCTTTTCTTGTTATATATGCATTTAACTGATTGGCAACGAAAACAATAGTATTGTCATAGCCAAATTTTTCTCACAGTTTTTTTTCTTTTCTTTTTTTTTTTTTGAGACAGGATCTCACTCTGTCACCCAGGCTGGAGTGCGGTGGCGTGATCTTGGCTCTCCGCAACCTCTACCTCCCAGGGTCAAATGATTCTCCAGCCTCAGCCTCGCTAGTAGCTGGGATTACAGGTGTGCTCACCATGCCTGGCTAATTTTTGTAGTTTTAGTTTTTTAGTTTTAGTTTAGAGACGGGGTTTTACCATGTTGGCCAGGCTGGTCTAGAACTCCTGACTTCAAACGATCCACCCCTCTCAGCCTCCCAAAATGTTGGGATTATAGGCGTGAGCCACCGTGCCTGACTTATTTTTTCATTATATACTTTTTATTTTGGTTCCTCTTCCCCACTTTCATTTCTGAGTTTTTGCTGACAGTGCAGCAACACCTGATAGTATAGGTAAAAAGAGATTTTCCTTGTTTACTTTAAGAGCATGTGTATTTGCTTTAATCTTAGAGTAAGCTTCCCTACTTTAGGAGGATACAATGTTCATAGCTAGTTTTGTACAAATCTAATTTTACCTGGCACAACTTTGTTGGGAAACAGAAACAGATTAGAAACTTTAGTACCAAGAAATTTTGAATAAAGAAGATACTGTTTTGTATGATGTGTGATGAAAACTTGGCATTTGGTGAATGCTCTGTTTCATATTCTAAGCCTGAAATTGCAGGGCTACATTTTCCTATGATAACTTCCTTTATTTCATCAAAACTCTAATAAGAAAATTTGTTTCCCAAGCATTCAAACTTCTTTTTTTTAAAGGAATTTCTTTGTCTGGCATCTTAGTCTGTGTACTGTTAAGAAAACATAGGAACCTGTTGATAACTTTTTTTTTTACTGTTGGTTTGTAAGATTAATTCCTCTTTAAGAAATTATAATAATATATATTGTTGAGATAAGGCTCTTCTGATAATATGACAAGTATCAGCAAGTACTTCCATTTGAATCTTTGCCAATTCATTACATTGTGTTTTTTAAAAATTGATTATACCTTCAGTTTGACCTGGGCACAGTGGCTCACACTTGTAATCCAGCACTTTGGGAGGCTGAGGCAGGCAGATCACTTGAGGCCAGGAATTCGAGACCAGCCTGGCCAATATGGTAAAACCTTGTCTCTAGTAAAAATACAAAAATTAGCTGGACATGGTGGCACATGCCTGTAATCCAGCTATTCAGGAGGCTGAGGCATGAGAATCACTTACCCAGGAGGCAGAATCACTTACCTAGGTTGCAGTGAGCTGAGATTGGGCCACTGCAGTCCAGCATGGACAACAAAGTGAGACTCTGCTTTAAAAAAAAAAATTGATTATACTTTCAGTTTGAGAAGTATTC